CATCCTTCAAGACAATGTTTCATGAAAGGAGGTTCTGTTTTCTGCAGTATGTGTTTCAGATTGCTATTTTAGCTTGACTTACATGCCATTCTTCTGGACTGGGATGGGGCTGGGTTTATTCTAAGTAATTGAAGATGAAAAATGTTTGCATCTTTATGTCTATGGAGATTCTCAGTCATGGTTGTCCCAAGGGTGTTTTTTTTTTCAAAAGACAACCAGACTTGTTTTGTCCTTGAAGTCGTTTCACTTTTCATCCAGGAAGCTTCTTCAGAACTGCCACAAACAGCCACAGGTCAACTTATTTTCCAAAGCCCCTGAAGGCAGGACTAGAAGCAATGGATGGAAACTAAGCAAGGAGAGAAGCAACCTGGAATTAAGGAGAAACTTCCTAATAGGAAGAATTATTAACCAGTGGAACAGAAGTTGCCTTTAGAAGTTGTAGGTGCTTCATCACTGGAGATTTTTAAGAAGGGACTGGACAGCCATTTGTCTGGTATAGGACCTCCTTTTTGAGCAGACGGCTAGACTAGAAGACCTCCAAGGTCCCTTCTAGCTCTATTCTGATTGAAGAAGCTTCATGGATGAGAAGCAAAATGTCTTCATGGAAAAACAGAGTCCAGTTTCCTTTTGAAAAATCACCCTTGGGTTCACATCTTTACAGATTGACTGCAGTAGATAACGCATACAAAATTATCCAATCAACCGAAATGAAAAAATGGTTTCAATACTCTTTATTATTTTTTTTCAGGCAAATAATAGTTTGGGGTATCCAATTAAATACTACTGTGTTGTTATTTTATTTTTAATTCAAAATCTACCACATATTCACCTTCATGGCTTCATCATGCTATATCCTTACACATTCATATCTGGCATAAGAGAGATGATTAAACAAAAAAAGATGAAATACATGTATCTACAGGACTGACAATCCCAAATAAAGCATTGTTGACGAAAAATTAATCCAACTTTACAAATGACAAACACGGTCACAAAATAGATTTAGTACACACGGATGGAAAAATAGAGAGAGTTGACCTTCTTTACATTTGTCAAATGCAGGTCTAAAAGATGTTTCTTCCTATTTTTTTTTTAAAGAATTATGTACATTATTCGGTATCCTCAAAATAGGAAGATATTAAATACAAACCAACCCAACAACTGATATTATAAACATAAATCTTTGGGGTATCAAGATGAGGATGGTTTTTAAATGGGCAGAATTTTTAACAAATTCTGGGTTTTGACAAAATGAGGTTCTCCAGATGTTGCTCATCATTCTAATTGGAGAATCTGCTGGTTGGAGTTAATGGAGCTGAAGACCAATATATATGGAGAACATCACACCTAGAAACCTGGGCTGATGTATGAAGGCTATGGAAGGATTTCCCAATGAACTTAGAGGTTGGATCCAAATTCAAGAATACTTGTCTAGTCCATCTTCTATAAATCACTCTCATCATTTCCAATTTCAGAATTTCAGAAGTTTTTTTTAAATAAAACAATTCCAGCTTTCATTTTTAAATATTAAAGTCTGACATCAGTGCATTTCTTTCTCTTAATGTTTAACTGGGGAAGTGGTCAGATTCTAGTCATAGAGATATTTTCCCCTCCGAACTGTGGGTACCCACTCTTAGAAAACTCGACACTGAGGCTGGGATTGATACATTTTTGTGATTTAGAGAAAGGTGAGTGAACAGAAAGTGATAGATGATGATAACTAGATATATGATAGCTAGCTAGATGATACAGTGGATAATAGATAGATAAAAGATAGTAGATGGTAGATAGATAGCTATCTAGATAGCTATATAGCTATATAGATGGTAGATAGATAGATAGATAGATAGATAGATAGATAGATAGATAGATAGATAGATAGATAGATAGTAGACAGTAGATATATAGATAATAGATACATGGTAGCTAGATAGTAGCTAGATGGAAGATAGGTAGATATAGATAGAAGACAGACAAACACACAGACACACGATAGATGATAGATAATATATAGATAAATAATAATAGATGATAGATTAGATAGATTAGATAGATAGATAGACAGGAGAGAGAGAGAGAGAGAGAGAGAATGAATGACAGAGCTGAAATTGCCATGCTCAGAAATAATTTATAGGAGAAGATCAAATAAGAACCCAAGAGGTAGCTTTAGTCTATGAAGACTAGATTAGTATTATAATTTCTTAATGGTGGTCCCATAATACCATAGAAGCCCCATTTGGACAGCTATTCTATAACCTTCCTTGCCAATGCCAATTTGAAATTAGTCAAAAGTAGCCACAAGGCATGTTGGATTTGAGTTCTTGCATCCCAATGACTGTTGAAGAATTCCATGGAGTTGAAAGCCAGAACATCTGGGGAAGGCTGTTCTAATTTCATGACTGGACGAAACATAATTCATTCTCTCTTTCTCTCATTATACGTAATTATTGGCTTCTTTACTTGTACCTGCTTTGGAAAAAGAATTTATGGTATATGGAAAGCAATTTTCTGTTAAGTAACTGTGAAAGCTAGCTCTGGCAAGATCAGAAAGAAACAGCTTGATACCAGACTGATATATTATACTAACAAGAGACAGGTGGTGAATGCTTCTTCCCAACCAAATGCAGAACGTGTTAAGTTTGTTAAACCATCCAGAGCAAGAGGCCACCAAGAATTAATCTTGAGTTGGGTTTTAGTAGAGCTTACAGTTGCTGGAATTTCCTCCCCCACCTCAAACATCTCCCCTAGATTTTGTAATAAACACCCTTATCAGGATCTTTAATCCATTTCCAGCATGACTTCCAATTGTAGGATCAGTCAAGAAGAGCTGGAGGACAGCAATTATGGATTCCAGTTGGTGATCAATCTTCTTTTTTTGAAGGTCAGACTTGAATAAAATTTACCAGGAGTACCTTTGAAGAGGGGCAACTGCTGTGCCTTGAAATTAAATACGTCGTGCTACGATGCAGTCCGCTCTCCCTACAGATTTTGCTTACAGAAATATCTCTACACTGGGCTGAGTGTTGAGCAATTGTGTGGACACTTCATTAAACATCACTGGAGAAGCACGACAGAAAACAGATGAAGAGTTGGCAGCTTTATTCATTTCTTTAGGACCAGGGGAAGGGTTAGAAGAGTAGAAACACTGCCTCCCATAACTAGAAGTCATTGCAAGAAAGATTTAAAAATGGAGGCAAAGTTGACTTATGCTTACACAGGCTGGTTTTACTCGAGCAGAGGTTGAAAACACTGTGAATGTTAGGAGAAATGAGGTGGGGTGTTTTAAGGAAGACTCACGCAAGCGTTCATCTTGAAGTATGCTTGTGAATGCAAATTGCAAAATTTGTGATGCAGTACATATGAGAACTGGGAGTTATTTGTGTGGGAAGTGGAACATCTGTCCTGGAGAAAGCATACACTGACCCAGGGTGGGATCAACCACAGATTGGCTAGCTGCTTCTCAGTTTACATGAAACGTTCTTGAAAAAGCCACATGGCTTAGGTACAATTCACACATGACCAAAGGGATATCAGAGGCTGCTTGGCATAGCTGCTTCTTGAGTCAGCCTCAGGGGGAGAAAACTGGTTGATTCTGAACTTTTCAGGCCAGAGTAGAGACAAGGAATCAAGTGGCTTAATTCAATTATTATTATTATTATTATTTGCATTCCTGTTTTACTCACGCTTCTCCAGTGAATATTCTGCCTTATGTGGCCAGCATCATTATTTGTACTCCTTTGAATCCTACAATGCAATTCTCCTATTAAAAAGTCAAAAACCCATGAATAAGGAATGTTTGTACACATAAATTAGGTTAAAAAAAAAGCTGATCAAAGGCATGTATTCTTAGAAATAGCCCTATTGTTGAGTGGTCTTCAAAAGAAGTCACAAGCTGAATTGAATTAAACTGAACATGAGCTAAATCAGAACATGGTAAGAGTTGAAAAGTACAGAGTTTTCGTTGCTACCAACACTGGAGGGAACTGGTGATAGACGTCCCAATTGTGCTTCAATGTGTTTTTCCCCTTGAACTTCACTCTTCCCATGGAGCATGGAAAATTGGATAATCTGCTTGGGATCTACCATGATGTTCCCAAACAAGCAAAAGATTCCAAAACTAATTGAGATAAATGCCCTTTCTCACCTACCTTCTCAGTGCAAAAAGTAGAAAACAAAGTGAAGGGAGAAGACTTCACTGTTGGTACCACTGAAGATACAGGTCTATGTTTTATTCACGCTTTATGAACATATGTCATGAATGGATTATATGAGTACACAGGATGTCGATACGATGGCATGCAGCCATCTGTATTTGTTTGGATATGTATCTGTACTGTACTGATAGATTTCCCACCATTATGTAGGCTACACTGTATATCTCATGAGGGTTGCAAGTGGGACTTTCATTAACTTTTTTTAAGGTTCAGTTTAGGACATTTCCAAATTCCTAATTAGATCCAATTACTACTGTAAATCTATCAACATATAATTGTTGATATAATGATATAATGTCTATGTCTTGTGGGTTCTGGGTGTACTGTGGTATTTACAGGTGAGATGTTTCATAAAATAAATGATTGTAACTTCCAGAAAATATTTATCCTCATCCTATTTTTCTACTTCACTTGATCCCCAGATTTAATACAGGGAGGCCTCGACTTATGACCGCAAAGGAAGCCCACTACTGATGCTGTTAAATGAGACATTTGTTCAGTGAGCTTTGCCCCCTTTTACGGCTTTTCTTGCTGCCATTGTTAAGTGAATCACTGCAGTGCATAATTTAGCAACCCGGTTGTTAAGTGAATCGGGCTTCCCCGTTGATTTGCTTGTCAGAAGATCACAAAAGGGGATATGGGTCAGTTGCCAAGTATCTGAATTTTGATCAGATGGCTACAAGAAAGCTGCAAAGGTCATAACAGTGAAAAACCGTCATAAGCCACTTTTTTCAGTGCTGTTGTAACTTTGAACGGTCACTAAATAAATTGTTGTAAGTTGAGGGCTACCTGTAGTTTTGGACTAGGTGTAGGCATTATTTTTTAATTTCCATTTTATACAAATATGCAATGGAAATGGAATTAATTTTGATCTCCGCTAACCAAACACGGTAAATGCCTGAACAATGGTGAGATTAGCCTTCCCCAATCTGAGGCTCCTTTAATTGTGATGTACTCCCAACCCCATAATTCCTAATCAGCCTGATCCTTTCTGGGACATTAATATGGGAAATTGACTTTGGAATCCGTGCTCCTTCGTCAACGCAACGTACCGTAAACAGAGAATCACACATAGACACACACACAACCGTATATGTAGATGGAGACCACTCCAAGTCACTCTTTGTCCTAACCCACTCTTCCCTTCCAACCTTCCATGATTCCAAGCTGGACGTTCAAGGGCTTCGTCCTTTAGAAACAACAAAGATGGCCATGAAACATGGCACAACACCCCTCTCTCTGAAGGCTTATAGATCAAAGAGGGATCAACAGGTGACTTCACGATGGACATCTCTTTGGACTTGGTCTTTAAGTTGTCTGATTCCAGCTTAGAGAGTTTGGAGTGTCCTGAACTTTTGCTGCGTGGGCTTGGTCGCTGTTTCCCTCAAATCTCAGCAGGGAAAAAAAACCACCTGATGAAAAAAAATGAATTCCTTGTGGGAGTGTACAAGATGGCCGTGGTGATGAAGAAGAAGTTTGTGGACAGAGCTGGGCCCTTTAGGATCCGGGCCACTGGTTCCTACGGTTCCTGCTTTTCCGGCTGTTGAGAAGAGCCTTTAATTTGCCATAGTCCCCTCTCATCTTGGAGGAACCATCCGCCTGTTGGCCCAATTGCCGCGTGTCTTTGCAATATTGATTGATCATCTGGAGTTCAGAGTGGCTGAAAGTTCCAGCCAGGTCCTTGGGGTGGAACTGCAAAGCGTGGAGCGAACTGGCCCAAGTCCACGGAGACCACTTGTCCATCATGAAGGCCACGGTGTCTGAATCCAAAACCTTGAAGCTCACCTTGGCTATGGTTTGCTTGAAGCCATTTTCCGTGGCAATACAGTGGTACGTCCCACAGTCGGCTTCCTGCACCGAACGGATTAGAAGCCCTTGTTGAGTGGCTAGGATTCTTTCACTGAGTTTCACCTAGGGACCGTCCAAAATATAAGTTTAAAAAGTTTAAGAGACTTTTAATGTTAATGTTTTTTTTAATTCATACGTCATTTGGTTAATATATCTTATTACTAGCTGGATAGCCGTGCTTTGCTACGAAACTATGTGGTTGGGCTTAGTTTTGGGGGAGGAAAACAAGGGTGGAAAATTCTGCCTCTGCCTACCAGCATCCATTGGTATTCATCTGGCTAGCATCCTGTCAGTGTGTGAGAGAGAGTTGAGGGCTGTTTAGAAACTGAAACAGTATTTGCTGTATAAGCAAGGAGACAGTAAGGAGCCTGGGAGTGGCTTAGCTCAACTATTCTGTACTAAAGCTGCTTGGTGCTGTGAAACTGAAACTCCTCTCCTCTGCTTGTGTTTTGCATTTGGAAGATATTTCTTTTTTTCAGGTGGGGAGGGGGAGTAGAACTCTTTAGAATCAAAGAGTGTTAATAATAATATAAGAAATACTAATGCTCTGATGGTGATTTCAAAAAATCCTTTCTTAGCGAGCACCTAGAAGCCAAGAGGAAGATACATGCCCAATTTCAAGTTTGTAGGCTTTACAGTTCCTGCACTGATGGCCCTTCTCTGATACAGTTTGAAAAAGTATTTAATTTGTCATTCAACTGTTACCATAAATTATTAGCCTAAGATACAAACAAACAAAAGAACTTTAAATTAATGAAAGCAGTGCTCCCTTTCACATGTGTGATCTGGATGTTATTCAGATGCTGATAATCAGTAGTATAAAAGTATATCTTTGCTTACATAGAAACAATTTTTTTTAAAAAAATGATTCGTTCTGTTTCACTACATGAACTTTTCCCTCAGACTCAGCCTGGTCATCTCCTACAGACACTGTCCATAAAGAAATGGCTGGATTATGACCGATCCTTCATTCCATTGGATTATATTCTTATTTCACTCATACACTTTGAAGCAGTTAGGAGAATTTTAATTTTGGTATCACAATTGTGAGCATTCTAGGTGAGTTAAGGAACACTCTGTTCAGAAGTGGGCTGCTGCCAGTTCGCGCCGGTTCGAATGAACCGATAGTTAGGATTCTGTGCAGTTCAGCGAACCAGCAAATCCCACCACTGGCTGGCCCCGTGCCTGCTTGTTTTTTGGCCTGTTTTCTGGGCAGTTTTCTGGGCTGTTTGGGGCCATTTGGGGGTTTTTTTGGCCCAAAAGATGGCCTGAAAAAAGCCCCAAAATGACCTGAAAACAAGCTGAACAATGGGTGGGGTTGGGGCCATCCAGTGGTGGGATTATCCTCAACCGGCTGAATCCTACCGCTGCCTTTGAGGTGAGTGGCTGGGAGGTGGGGTTGTGTGTGATGAGTGACGTCATTCACCCAGTCACATGATCACGCCTTGTCAGGTTTCCAAGTGATGAAATCCATTTAAAAAGAAAAGAACAAAGTCCATCTTCCAAGACAATTTCTTTTATTTAGGAAAGCATCAAATTGGCAAAGTCCGTGGTAATTCCGGATCTGACATAACCCAGAATTACCCTACAATATTAGAAGTTAGAAACAACTGCCAAAAGTCACATTCTCCAATAGAAGTAATTCAACATTGCTTGATGTCATAAATCTCCATCTCAAGGGGCCTGAGCATGGACAGCTCATTTTCCCACGGGAAGAAGAATCACCTAGCCTAAACAAGTCTCTCTATCTCCACTCCTTTCCTCTTAGGAACCTGAAACCCTTCCCCCATAACTGCCAGAGAAAGTAAGAAAAATAATATATACTAAGCCTAACTAAAATGGCTACAAATATGTCAATTTCAGGCTTGACAGCCTACCTAGCTGGAAGAGCACTTGTTAAGTTATTCCAATCCCACTGCTAGCTCTGTTATATTACGTACCTTCTAAAAATAACAATAGCTTTATGATCTGTTGACCCAGTCCTGGTGATAATACATTGCCTCTCCTTGCTTTTCAATAAGATCACTCACCTCTTTCCTTCGATCATTGTCCTTTTGGAAAAGCCATTTAATAGAAGCTTGGGGAGATTTAGGTGTACACTCAAGGAAAGTGGTGTTGTTCTTGACTCCATACTGAATGACTTCAGCGGCGTTTCGATAAGCTGGAAGGTAAACCAACATCACGAACACTTTGAGAGCCACAGTTGGGCCACTGATGTTTGGTACAATAGATGCCACCCCATAAGATTGGAATAGCACTTGGTCGTAATAAAAATGAAGAAAATTTTAACTCACCAGTTAGAAAAAGTTGTATTACTTGGGGCAGGGCATACTCTATGATGCTACATTTAACTATCCAAGATGCACTTAGAGTTATCTGATAGTACTGTAATCATAAGAATATACCCAGATGGTGACGTTTGTGCCATGAATAGATAATGGAGGAGGAGGAGGAGGAAGAGGATAAAGAAAGATCTCTACAAGGTTCCTTACAACTCTGTTATTCTGTTCTGTTCTGTTCTGTTCTGTTCTGTTCTGTTCTGTTCTGTTCCGTTCTATCCTATCCTATTCTATTCTATTCTTTTCTTTTCTTTTCTATTCTATTCATTATTTTAGATTCCAAAGTCTTGGAATGCCAATATTATGACTGCCTCCATTTTTTTCAGCAATGTAATGATTTTCACTCCCTCCCTTTTCAATAATAGCAGTGTTTGGTGCATTGTGTCAATGTCTACTTTTAAGCCCACCAAGATTGTGATCTTTTGCCTTTTCTAAGATTTTTCCAAGTGTGTAATCTTTCAGGGTGTGGATTTTACAAGGTTCTAATGAACAGGAAAGTCTTTTTTTTTAAAAAAAAAATATCAGGATAATAGAGTTGGATGGAAGCTTGGAGGTCTTCTAATTGAATCCCTTGCTCAAGTAGGAAACCCCATGCTATTTCAGACAAAGATTGGTTGTCCAATCTCTTCTTGAAAACCTCCAGTGATGGAGCACCCACAACTTCTAAAGGCAAGTTGTTCCACTGATTAATTGTTCTCACTGACAGGAAGTGTCTCCTTAATTCTAGTCTGCTTTACTCCTTGTTTAAATTTCCACCCATTGTTTCGTCTTTTGTCTTCTGGTGCTTTGGAGAATAGCTTGACTCCCTCTTCTTTGAGGCAGCCTCTGAGATATTGGAAGACTGGTGTCATGTCATTCCTGGTCATTCTTTTCATTAAACTAGACATACCCACAATTCTTGCAACTGTGCTTCATATGTTTTATCCTCCAGTCCCATATAAAATTAAAATGCCAACGCTGGATTTTTACAACTCTAACATTGCTTATATCAATTTGCTATTGTCATCCTGTCTTTCTTTTCCAGAAGTTCAAAGCAGCTTTCATGGGATTAATCTTTATTGTTTCTTCATGGCAACCGCCCTGTGAGACACAGGGTGTGTCTGAGAGAATGAATGACTGGCCAATATATATATCCCAGAGTGTTTTTCTTTTTAAAGAGGAAGGTGTGTTTTTTTTGTAAAATCTTCAAATGCAGCAGGATTAAAAATAATAATAATTCCATATTTAATTATTTTGTAGCTGGTAGCTTTGAAAAAAAGAACACATTCACAATTACATGCACAAAGAATCTTCCAGGGTACCAAAGGAAAAAAAAAAGTATTTTTATAGAGGTTCATATCAGGTTTCCTGCCTGAGCAAAGAGTTGGACTAGATGTCCCTTCCAACTTATTCTGTTCTGTTCTGTTCTGTTCTGTGCTGTGCTGTGCTGTGCTGTGCTGTGCTACGCTACGCTACTCTACTCTACTCTACTCTACTCTACTCTACTCTACTCTACAGTATTCAGTGCAGTGGCGTGATCAGAACAATTTGGAACTGAACACACTCAAAACCATAAAAATTGTGGTAGACTTTAGGAGAAACCCTCTCATACTACCACCTCTTACAATACTAGACAACACAGTATCAACAGTGGAGACTTTCAAATTTTATATCTCAACTCCTAAAATGGATACCTAACATCAAAAACATCATCAAAAAAGCACAATAAAGAATGTCTTTTCTGTACCAACTCAGGAAGCTCAAACTGCCCAAAGAGCTGCTGATTCAGTTCTACAGAGGAACTATTGAATCTGTCATCTGCACCTCTATAACTCTCTGGTTTGGTTCTGTAACCCAACAGGACAGACACAGACTTCATAGGATAATTAGGACTGCAGAAAAAACAATTACTACCAACCTGCCTTTCGCTGAGGACCTGTACACTGCAGGAGTCAAAAAGAGGGCTGTGAAAATATCTACAGGCCCCTCACATCCTGGACATAAACTGTTTCAACTCCTACCCTCAAAACGATGCTATAGAGCACTGCACATGTAATTCCCTCAACACTGTCAAACTATTTACTAAGTCTGCATTACTATTATTATTACTATTAATCCTCCAATCGTTCCTCTCATCCATCTCCTCCCATTTATTACTGTAAGACTGTAACTTTGTCCCTTGTATCCTTACAATTTATTATTTGTTTCCTGGTATGATTTGATTGCTTATTTCTACCGTATGACTATTATTAAGTGTTGTATCTTATGATTCTTGACTCTTGAAAAATGTATCTTTTCTTTTATGTACACTGAGAGCATCTGCACCAAGACAAATTCCCTGTGTGTCCAATCACACTTGGCTATTAAAGAATTCTATTCTATTCTATTCTATTCTGTTCTGTTCTGTTCTGTTCTGTTCTGTTCTGTTCTGTTCTGTTCTGCTCTGCTCTGCTCTACTCTACTCTACTCTCTCCCATTCTATTCTATTCTATTCTATTCTATTCTATTCTATTCTATTCTATTCTATTCCACGGTACTCTACTCTATGCTACACTACGCTACTCTACTCTGTTGCTTTCCATCCAGCTGACTGCCCAAAATGAGTTGAAAATACTCAAAATAAGGCAGATTTTCAGATCATGAATTTGTCATGCTGCTTTTTGAAAAAAGAAGAAGGAAATAACACCAAAGCAATCTGAAGTTTCAGGGCAAGAGATGAAATTCTGTCCTCAGCATGAGCCATGAAACATTCATAAATAAATTCATCTTCTTTTCATAGAAAGGTATTCTGGAAAGCGAAAAGCAATTTAACGAATTAACCATGAGAAAAGCTGTTTGTGGGAAACCTGGTACGGTCTATCTATTTTTGGAAAGACTGCTCATTCTATTTAAAATGGAACAGCCATATATAATCTTAAGTGCTGGAATTTGAGACAGATTATTGTTTTCCAGTTAAGGGGAGGCAGAAGAAAGGAAAGGTCTAAGCCTTAAAAAAATAAAAGAATGGAAAAGTGAGTAACTTCTTATTTGTTGAATGTATTTGTTTTGGCTATGTTAGAGCTTTGATTTTCAAAAAAAAAAAATCCTACCTTTTTCAGAATTTTGGAAAAGCTTAAGCTGTGTCAACCTTCCTTCCTTGTAAGAAATAGGACATTAAAACCAAAATACAGGCAATCCTTGACTTCCAACCATTTGTTTGACTTCTCGAAGCTACACTGGCACTGAAAAAAGTGACTTATGACCAATTTTCACAACTTATGACCATTGCATCCTCATTATCGTATGATCCAAATTCAGACACTTGGCAACTGGCATGTATTTATGACGGTTGCCATATCCCTGGGTCACGTGATCCTCTTTTGTGACCTTCTGACATGCAAAGTCAAAAGGGGAAGCCACATTCACATAACAATGGTGTGTTCTGACCAAGGCTTCCCGAGATCATAATTAAAATGGAGGGAAGGTTAAAATGGGATACATTTATGAATACTCAACTGTTTTTACTAGCTGTTCTGTCCTAAGCTTCCCCAAAAACTCTGCGTCCCAGCAAAACCTCTTTCATTAAATGAATGTGAATTTATTACATTCACATTCAGCCAACAGCCTGACAAACAGTCTTGCATTATTATTATATTATTAGCTCAAACCTTATCTATCTTGGAATGCTGCCCGGTAACTATTTCCACATACAGTGGAAGGGCTGGGCACAAAGTCTCTAGGTTACACAGACAAATCTTCACGAGGCTGGAATGAATGAACGAATGAACAAATTGTTTCCTGCAAAAGCCCCCTTTCCTTTTGCTCCTCTTTTAATCCTGATGGGAGGGGCCATTCATTGTCCACCTGTGGCCTTACTCCCATGTCAACCCTGAGTTCTTAATTGTGCCTTCCTTTTGGCAGCTCTATGCATGCGGAGGGTGGGAACCGGTTCCAGAAGCTCCCCTGCCTCACTGCTGTCCAAGCCTGAACACAGCTGATGACTGCCAGCCTGTCCTGGCCCCATCTCTGCCTCTGATGCAGAGCCCTTGTCCGAGCCTTCCTCAGACTCCAAGACTGGCCCAGGTTCCTCCCCAACCTCCTCGCTGTTTGACTCTGCTGCCAGCGGACCACAATACTAGCATATGAAATGGCCACTATGATTCACTCAGAAAAAAAACAACGGCCATTTCTTTCCATAACCCAGCCATCTTTTAGTTCGACCTACCTTTGAGGTTAAATCCTCGGCACTGAGTCATGGGGTTTCCATGTCTCACGTCTTGCCTTCGACTCCGCCTATAACATTTAAGGGAAAGGAAAGTTAGGTAGCTGCAAAATTTTCACCAAATAGCCAAGTACGGATAGTAGGGAGTATTTGTAACTCAAGGTTGAACTGTGGGGGTCACTGATGCTCTCTGAGCTTGGTGGTTTTCTTGCAGATGTTTCATGACCCAACTAGGTAACATCATCAGAGCCATAGTACATAGTGGTTAGAATGTAGTAAAAGTAAAAGGTAAAGTTTCCCCTCACACATACATGCTAGTCATTCCTGACTCTAGGGGGCAGTGCTCATCTCTATTACAAAGCCGAAGAACCAGCGCTGTCTGAAAACATCTCCGTGGTCATGTGGCCAGCATGACTAAACACCTTCAAAGGTGCACAGAATGCTATTACCTTCCCACCAAAGGGGTCCCTATTTTTCTACTTGCATTTTTATGTGCTTTTGAAACTGCTAGGTTGGCAGAAGCTGGGACAAGTAACGGGAGCTCACTCCATTATGTGGCGCTAGGGATTCCTTTCTGATCGACAAGCTCAGCGTCTTAGCCACTGAGCCACTGCATCCTTAGTACTACATCCCTGCTGAATGCAGTATTGAAGGCTAACTCACTGCCCACTGTCAGGAGTTAGATCCTGACTGGCTCAAGGTTGACTCAGCCTTCCATCCTGCTGAGGTCGCTCAGATGAGGGCCCAGATTGTGATACAACTCCAATCTTTGCAAATTTGAACGTGAAATCACGTCAGAGATTTAGAAAGAGTGGAGCTTGTATTGTGACATCAAAAACATTCTACTGTATAGTGCTGTGTTGGTGCGGTGTCGCGGGCTGTCAGTTCAATGTATGGAGTGTGAAGGGTGTGTGTTTGTGTTTATTTTCATGGTCATGATGTGCACTGAAGATGGTGTTTGATTTCACTGTAGAGGTGCAATGACAATAAACTAAACTAAGCACATTTCTCTGGAGCAATTTCTTTTAAACTCTTTTAACACTAATGTTGAAAGAGATCACAGAGAAGAACAAGTGCTTTATTGGGTGTCATTCAGAAATCGAAGAAAAACAATGAAAAGATCCATTTCAGAAGGAAAGAGCTTGGAAATTCGGTACATCATTACCATGACATGAAAAATATTTGGCAAACATGCAGATGGGTTTTTCACCACAATGATCAAACGTCTTGCAGTCATGTTTTGGGAACCCAACTTTGTAGGCATAGAAAAGAGACAACAAAATATTGCCTGCACAAAGGAGTTACTACTGGTGTCTAGACTCTGAGATTTGGCTGGTTACTGATAATTTTTCTCAAATAAATATATATATATATATATATAAATAAATAAATAAATGAGATAAAGGAATTAATTTCCTAAACATGTAAAACCCAGACTTCATTATCTATGCATTTCCTTTTTTCCCACCAGAGCAAGCCCAAATATTACTCGAAAGGAGATGGTGGGCTCTATTGTGAAGACCGGGAAGATATTCAGAAATTTGCAGACATTTTTCAATGTTCAGATCACATTTTGGCAAAATTCTGAAACTTGCAGCAGGCAAGTATCATATTTCAGAACAGCAAGCATCCCCGGCATTACACTCACAATAAGAACACAGTGAAACAAACTCTTTTTTTCTCAAAAAATAAAAAAAATAATCTCTCAAGACAGACCATACTTGCTGGAAAACATCTAGATGAACAATCTGACTCTTTCCAAAAAATGTAGAAGCAGTGAAAGTTGTTCCTATTACATTGCAACCACGTGAGCAAAATGTTAACACCCCAACTGCATTTCCTTACTGCCAATCTTTTTTTAAATTTTATTTATATACTAGCTCGATACCTGTGCTTCTCCACAAAACTATGTGGTTGGGCTTAGTTTTGGGGGATGAAAATAAGGGGAAAAAATTCTGCCTCTGCCTACCAGCATCCATTGGTATTCATCTGGCTAGCGTCAGTGTGTTTGGAAACTGAAGCAGTATTTGCTGTGTGAGCAAGAAGGACACAGCAAGGAGCCTGGGCATGGCTTAGCTCAACAGTTCTGTACTAAAGCTGCCTGGTGCTGTGAAACTGAAACTGAAATTCCTCTGCTTGTGTTTTGCATTTGGAAGAGTTTTCTTTTCAGGTGGGGAGGGGGAGTAGAACTCCCTAGCATCTCAGTGTGTTAATAATAATAATATAGGAAACACTAAAGCTCTGATGGTCATTTTGAGAAATCCTTTCTTAGTGAGCACCTAGAAGCCAAGAGGAACATACAGGCCAAATTTCAAGTTTGTAGGCTTTATGGTTCTGCACATATTGTGATGATGCATGAGTGGTATTTCGCTTTTATATATATAGACTGTCTCTTTGTATACAATAAGTGTTTAGCAAACAGCATACTGTCTGAATGAATTTGTTCCCCTGACAATATTAAACTCCCAATTTCTACCTCTATTATCCAATCATTGATAAAACAAGTCCCAAGTTCAAAACTATTTGGTGTCTTCTTTTTCTCTTGTCTTCAATGTTCATCTGTCTATTTTTGGACAGTCTAATATTTTTTTAAATTATTATTTTTTCTTCTGTGGGTGTTTCTTCATTTTTCCAGTATTGCACAAACACAATTCTTGCTGCTTGTCAAAACATGTACATTAAATGCACATTCACTTTTTCATATTTCTCTGGTAACATGCCTAACAATAAATAATTCTGGTTTATAATCTATATATGCTGCTTTAACATTTTTTTTTCTAACCATGTATGCATTTTCATCCAAAACTTTCTCTTTTTTTGCTTTTGGACACATCTACCATATGTGATAATATGTACCTGGAGTTTGATTACATTCCCAACATTTAGTAAACATGTTTTAAAACATTCTGGCTAATCTAGCAGGTGGCAAGTGCCGTCTATAAAACATTTTGTGTAAGTTTTCCTTATATGTAGTTGCCATTGCCAATTTATAGTGTATTTCCCAGAGTTTTTGCCACTGATCTAATTCAATGGTATTTCTTTCTACCAATGTAATCTGTTGGCTTATCCTCCTTTACCTTTTGCCTGTTGGATAGAACCTGGAACAGGAGTTGCCATCCCAGGCACAATAAGGGTCTCTAGCCAGGCAGCAATCAGCACAAGCCGTCCCGTAGATGTGGCAACGGTGTAAGGACACCTGGGTAACGCCTTCATCGGAGCTGACGTACAACTGTTGCTGTTGGAAAAACAAGGGAGAAGTTAAGGATTCCAGCTTCTGGAACTGAAGGAAGATGTCAAGCCTGAACGCAGCAAATGGAGAACAGCCCCCCTCCTCTTTGACCCCTTCAAAGGATCACAAAACCAAGAACTGGATCGCTCATGCCCAAATGAATGCAGGGAACTCTCTGGTTATTATTGTATGACACGTCTCTTCTAGGAAATATTTGAGAATGATCTTAAAATTTTCAAAACTTCGAGATTAGCGGTTCATCTGTCAGGAGAGTCCTTCAAGAGAATATCATGTTGATCTGCCTGCCTCCCTGCCTGCTGGCGTCTGTCTATCTATCTATCTATCTATCTATCTATCTATCATCTCTCTCTATCCATCCAT